TTTTAACGCATTTGAACGTATTCATATATGACCATAACAAGGGAGGCGTCAATTTTTTGAAAAGCTCCTAAGTCGTTTACAATATATCTGCTTAAGCAGAAAGGATCATCCTAGATCAAACTTTTTGAGAGGAATCGAATGGTGATGTCAGAAATGTTTACAATGATTCTCTATAGAATGTGGGTGCTATTTTTGTTTTTGAAAAGCATTAATGCGTTCACATGTATTAATATCTAATGTGTGTGATAGCGTTAGACCGCTCTTAAAGCATGTGAATGTATTGAACAGACGAAGAAACTTTTTAATGTATTCGAATGCGTTAAATAATTTTGTGCATGTGAATGCATTAGCTTCTGATTAATCTGAGTACATGTAAATGCATTAAATGGACGAAAAGTCTTTTTTATGCATTAAAACGCATAAAAAATTTTGAGAAGTTTAAATATGTTAGTTATTACGGGATTTGAAGGTGTTTGAATTTGTAAAAATGCATTAGGAAAGTTAAAAGATTTAAGACTACCAAATACATTAACTTTTATGGTATGTGAAAGCATTCAAAGTTTTTTTATCGATTTAATAAGTTCAGACGTATTAAAGGTACAAAATGCAGATTTTAATGCGTTCAGAGGAAACTTTTGGCATTGAAAAAATTCATTGGCTATATTGAATATGAGCCTGTTTGAGTGCGAAGATAGAAAACAGATTACGTTTTTTTATTTTTTTTCAGCAAATAAAAGTGAGAAAAGATACATAATCTGAATTCTGTTGCGATGAACAGTGATCTAATAACGATGAGATCGAATGAAAGACGAACGCAATCAATTTTATTTTCTCGAGACCATTATTTGTTCTTAAAAAAGACAAAATAAAATAACCAAACTTTGTAAATATATTCTATATGATACTCGACTTACATTGTTCTTTCAAAAAACAAGTTGACATATATGTTGCTCATTGTATCGAACACTTTGTCATTATTGAGTTGTAATGATGGCAAGTCGATCTTGTTACGTACATATTTAAGCAGATTGTATAATTCATCTACACGTAATTCGAATCGAGACATCAGCACTTTTGCAAGCTTGCCACTCTTCACTGAAAAATTATAGAAACCAAAAATATCGTTAACAAAAGAGAGAGGATGCGAACTTACCATTACTGATATGCACGTATTTTTCGAAATGCCTCAGGTCGAAGTCAAGTCACTAGTCGAGGTGTGAAAATTTTCTCACCTCGACTTGATTTTGACAATTATTTTAGTAACTTGGCCTGACTTGTGACTTGCCGGCTCTGACCAGAACGATCCTTCTCACTTTCATTCATCAAGCTCGGCAGAAAGAGATCGAACACGTGCATCTTGTGATTACTGTCACTAAATGAATTCGTATCTGAAATCCACCAACAAGAGTAATACACGCTGCAACTTCGTTAATCGAGACAACATACCACGAACGTGAATCTGGATAACCTCTGGTACTCGACGAATCACTGATTAGGAGAGACGTTTCAATCCATCGAGACTGATCTTCTCGAGCTAAAATTCTAATATTTGTCTGAAAATAGTCTAAATGGATTCCCTATATAAAATTTGGTATACCAGCCAATTGAAACATTTTGCGATTGAATTCCGATTATGACTGGGAAATCCAATGGACCTATTCGATTTATTTTGCAACAAAATCCGAATTCTAATGGATCAGAATCAGATTTTTAATTGTTCAGAATAAAAAAAACATTCAGTCTTTCCACCTCACAGTTTTGTATTTGGTCTAGACTCAGCTGATTTTTAATGAATACCTGTCAAATCTGGGAACATCTACGCACCCAAGGAATTTGAAGAGATTTTCCTTCCAGAGTACATAGCTTCCGCAGCATTCTGCGAAACAAATCTCTTCAGATACTACGTGTTCGTGTGGTGTTCGTAGGTACAATTTCAGAAGAATTATTCCAGTTCCCTTTGAAGACCAATCCATATGAGAGTTCGTAGGTCGAACTCGATGAGCTCTACCTACAAGTATATACAGATCTACGTTTCCTTTTCCTTTTGGGGGTTTCGTAAGGTGCGGGTAATTCAAAATTTTCACATCATTTTATTTCTGGCTTAATGGTTATTTCAAAATCACATGACCTGCACAGTGCTACAGTATCCGGGTCGAATTCGCCCGACTGGATCCTGCCGGATCCTTGTAATTCTGGTGATTTCCGAAGAACGAGCGTTCGATCAGATCCGAAGATCGGAATCTGCTCAATTCCTTCGCGCGTTCTGATATTTGGTTCCTGGAGGAACCGACATCTGGAACCATTCGAATTTCCGGTAATCGGAAACTGAAAAAGGGCAGGTTCCGTCAGGATCCTGACGCCGGAATCAACGACCTGGGTAACTGAAGCTACCAAAATTGCCTTATCTTCAGGGTGTAAACCTATCTAGTTTTCTGGTCAATAGATGGAGCCATGTTTCCTATCACATTTTAACCGCCTCGTGCTTGCGCATAAATCTTTTCGTTCTGTGCTGAGAAAATTCATTTTTTCTAAATCAGAGGCGGAAAAGTCAGAATTCTGCCCGTAATTCTCAATTTTCTCGATCAGAACTCAACTTTTGAGCAATAAAAATATCGTATTCGGAATTGGAATCGGAATCAAAAACTGAGTCGAATGATGTGTATTTCAATCGCATCCGACTACTTTAATTTTTTCGAATTTTCACGTTGAAAAATTTTTCAATAAAAGTACGCTCTTTTATGCGCAAGCACGAGGCGGTTAAAATATGATAGGAAACATGGGTCCTGTACAAAACCGGTTTTTGGACCACCGTCAAATTTCCGGTTTTTTGCAACTTTTTTGCTCCAGAAGTGTTTCCAAAGCCTAAAACACATATATTCGGATTCAGCTAGCTAGAGACGAATCTAACCATGTATAATTAAGCCAGAAATAAAATAACGTGGAAGTTTTGAACTGCTCACAGCATCTTAAGTGTTCGCCTATTTTACAAGTATCCACGTTTTTCATGAAAAACTGATTATTTTACTCATATTTTTTTATTTTACTCATGTTTCACATGAAGTCGCATAAGATGTTTTGATTCCCTCGCAAAACTGAAGAAATATGAATAAACAACCTAGATCGTCAAAAACGACATCGTTAACGTGGTAAACGTGCTGTTAACGGGCCGTTTTTACACTGTTTAACTGAGGCCATTTTTAGGCCGTTTTCAGTACATATTTCAAATTTCATTATTTTTGATCATGAACTAAAAAATATTATTTTCTGAATTTTTTTCAATTTTTGGAATTCCTTTGAACCATGGTTTACCAGTCTTGGGAGTATGGTTCGGAACGGTGGTGATGGAACTTATATCTTCGATATATATATATATATTCGAAGAAATCCAGCGTTCTATTTATACTAGTAGTGGATGCGAAATAATAGAGGTGCATGATTTGTCGTCAAAACAGCCTAAAAAACGATCAGGTTACGGTATAGAACATATACTTCACTCGATCACACTAATAAACGATCCGTTTTTAGACCGTGCACTGACGCTCTTAGAACGGCCAGTTTACTGTGACGTTAACGGAACGTTTTTACGCCGTTTTCACACCGTTAACGAGCCATTTTTTAGATAATCGTAAACTGGCTGTTAACCGTCCGTTAACGCGCCGTTTCGTTTGATCTGGGAAATTGAATACACGGAGGCACCACGTTATGATAGCATTTACAGAGATTTATCAGCGAAAATAGTAAATGTTACAATGCGCTGTTTTCCATATTGTTTTCTGATCCTCGCAAGTTTTGGAGCTGTCAAGAAACTATCGTCTTCTCACTCCACTTTACCTCAGTCTTTGTTTCTAGGCTCCAGATCTGTACCCACAGATGCGGATAAAGCTGAACTTTTCAATTCTCATTTTTTCTCTTGTTATTCTTCTCTTCAGGGGCAAATTCCTCCCTCTACCACTCCAGACTTGCCAACGATGGATAAACATCTCGACTTCTCCATACGAGACATTGACCGTTTACTTCAGAAATTGGATAAAAAGTCTACTGTTGGTATTCATGGAATTCCTTCTTCCTTCCTCTCTTCTTGTGCTGACGTTCTCTCACCTCACCTTCACTTCATTTTTCATCTGTGTCTTTCTACTAGCAATTTAAAGCGGCATCTTTGAACGCTAGAGAATTGGACAAAGATCATCCAGTATCATTAGAACGTTTGACAATGATGACTCATCTTTTTGTGTTTGTTGCAGGTTTGCCGGTCACTGATAACCGGTACAAATAAAGCCTTATTCATTCGATAAATTGAGATAATGATTCACTCTTTTGAATCTTAAACGATATAAACACGATTTATTAATCTGCTTTAAGTATTCAATCTGACAAATCATCAGTTCGGTTAGTTAAATCAGCTTTTAAAGAACTCGATTTAGTACTTCCCTATAGCTGTTAGCCAATGATATAGTTTTCGAGCCGTTTATACACCATTCATAGTAAAAATTCATATGATCCGTCATATTAATCATGTGACTATGTCAATTCTTGGTTTATTGACTGAAGACTGGAAAAAAACTAGTTCTAGATTTCTGCGTGAATGAGAAATTCAAATTGTTTCAACCTCTAACCATCTGATTTAAAATATAATGGTAGTTCTTTACTATATCATTCTTACAAAGATGATTTCTTAATGATTAGAAAAAAATAAATATTAAAATTTCGTACTGAAGACAGCATAACGTAGAAAATCAGTTTATTCGTTCAAACCGCTATCTACCCATGTTTTCGATTGCGATAAACTTGATCTCATTGTGGAATCACAATTGTGAGTCCACGATCGCAAGAGTACAAGTATGTCCAATTTTAGTGCAACGTTCACTTGTGCGGCAAGTATTAAAAAGTCAACGATATCGGTATTGTCTATAGTAGGCAAGTTCGATTGCAATGAATGGAAAGAAATGTTTACAACAAATATTGAATCATTTTTTATTGCCTTGTTTTATAGACTCTTATCCATGTGGATTCTCGAACTTCTTCCGGATGAAATATTACTTCGAATTCTTAAGTATCTTAATTCATTCGATGCATTATATTCATTTATGAAATTGAATACTCGTTTCGAAAATCTTTTGATCGCACATAAACGTGAAATAAATTTATCTGAAGTATCGTATCAACAATTTTTGTATTATTTTGAACATCTTCTTCCAAATATAAATGAGATATTATATGCAATGAAACTAGGTAGTAAGAAAACACCCGGTCAATTAGGTTTATTCATGTCAAAAGTGAGAACAACAAATCAATTTACGGATATAGAAACATTAACCATTGTCGAACCCAAATTAAATGAATTAACGTTCCTATTAAAAGAGTTTGCAAATAGGCTTGAATATTTATCAACATTATCATTAATTAATCACACTATTGATGATAGTCAATATCTATCATATAATAATTTAATTACACAACAGCTATTCACTCTAAACACATTACAAAAGTGTTCAATTTATACAGAACAATTTTATCTTAACTTATTAGGACTTCAAATTATATCCACTAGTTTAGTCGATCTCGAATTAAGTGTACATCAAGCGAACGATTTTCTTCATCTTCTCAATTATATACCAAATATTGAAAATTTGAAAATAACTATCGGATGGTAAGTAACAAGAAAGAGCATTTGGTCAAATTTTTACTTTATTTCATTTGATGTTACCAGTTGCCTTTTCTTCGTTAAATTCAACGAGGATAAAGTGACCTCGGTCTTTCATCATATTTTTCTTGCTTTTCAGTAAACATTCTATTAAAAAGAATTTTTCACAGAATCATTTAATGTTTCAACATAATTTCATAATAAATTCCATCTTCAAGTTCGATCTCACCTTCTGCAACATTCTCGTAGGCAATGATTTATCATACATTTCCGTTTTATAATCATTTATTTATGATCAACATCGCGCTAAAAACAACATAGTTCTTTACTTTTAAACTAATCTGACATACTTAGGTGGAATCACGATCGTACTTGTCAAGCATTCGTCGATAAATTAACAGGTGTACCATTACAAAAAATAAAATTATTTCATTTACATTTACATTCAATTATTTTAATTGAATTTGAACGTTTTAACATTATTCTCAAAAAAGTATTGAACAACTCATCTACATTAAAAAATTTTTCATTTTCAATGAAATCTTACAAAAGTGATCATCTATTATTTATTGATGGTGACGCATGGCAGACGATTTTATCTAATTTTTCATCACTGGAAAAAGTCCATTTAGATATTGATATAATTGTTGATGAACAAATTGGACAGAATTATTCATTGGATAAATTTTGTACACAATATTGGCTAAAACATAAATGGCAATTTATCTATTATTTTATAAATAAACGACAACTTATTGTTCATTCAATTCCATATGAAAATCATTATTATAAACTACAAAGTATGTCTAAAATAAGTATACTTCAATGTTTGGAAATGTGTGACAATGGGATTATTAAATCGGATCAATTGGTATATCATGGAAATGATGAATCAATTTCTCCTGAATCATTTGCATATCTTCTCAGTCATNGATATGACATGGCTTCAGTCATCTTTTAAAAAAAACATTCAAAGTAGGTTTTTCTCTGTTTGCATATCTTCTCACTCATTTTAAATATTTAAAACAACTTGAATTAAAACAATTAGGAAAATTTGTATCATCAACACATGATCTTCCACTTAAATTCAATGGAACAACATCAAAATTAACTATTTACTCTAGTGAATGTTTTAATCAATTATTATTCGATATTTTACCATTTATCAATTGTTTATCCATATCATACTCAAAATTATGCGAACATCAGCAAGAGATAAAAATATTACATAGATTAGTTGAACTTCATTTACAATCATTTTTCATTGATGATAATCAATATGATTTGGAAATATTTTTAAAAAAATTAACAAATATTCAATGGTTATATTTAAATTTTGAAAATCAACATTTGTCATCAAATCAAATAATTTCAAAAATTAAACAAATATTATCCATAGGAAAAAAACTAAGATGTTTAAACGTGGAATTTGTAAAGCCTATTTCGATTGAGTGGACAGTAGAATTGAATGAAAATCAAAATCAGATTGTTTATTATGATGAAAATAAAAGGTTATTACAAATATGGGTATAAATTTCTGTTCATTTTAACGAGTAACTTAGGAATTTATGAGATTTTTCTTCGTTTCTCATTTTTTAAGTATCTTGATATACTTTTAAAATTTTGTTCTAAGCTGAGAAAACAGAGCATCATAAACAGTTCTGTATGAAATAGTCACATAATAAAGTAGTGAACAAAAATTCAAGACATTTTATTTTTCAAGTTCTTCTTTAACTACAATGATTGAAAGAAGATATATGAACAACTTTGAACTTCACCGAATTCTGAAAGGTGCTTATAGTTATTATATTGAAAGTTCAAAAAATCCTTTTTCAATGTTGGAACTTGAATTGAAATTCTCCAGATGATAGTAAAACTTTTGTAATCAATCTAGAATAGAGTAAACAATTTTCTTTAAAAGAAGATGTCTGTGAACTGTACACGCTCTATTGCTGACTCGTTATAGTGCATACTTTCTCAATCATTATTTTCAACATTATACCGTGTTAGTTCCACTAATCATTATAACAAGTCAACTGAGGTCACAGACATCTTCTTTTGAAGAAAACTGTTTACCTTCTCTTTCTCGATTGATTACAAACGTTTTACTATCATCTGGAGAGTTACAATTCTTTATGTACATCCAGATAAGAAAGAAGCTAAGAAGCTAACTTCGATCAGGTAGAACACATGGGCAACTCAGAGACCAATAAAAAAAATTTGGATC